ATAATTATTTCTTATTATAAATTATTTAATCATTAATATAATCTGGTATGTACGAAGATATTTATTGATTTTTTTTTATTTACAGACGTTAAAAATGAATATGGAATTGTTTACTTATTTGTATCACCTATTCAAACCAAATATTCTATACAATTTTATAAATCAGTAGAAATTGAATAATAAATAATAGTGAATAAACTTAATTAAAATATTTTAAAAATACATGTTAAATATTTTAAATAGCTTTTCCACAAACAATAATTATATTACTGGTTGTTTGAATAGAATAGAATAGGAACATTTATTGCCAGTAAATATACAATTACAATATAAAATATAACTAAAATATACAAAAAGTGTCCCACACCCGGCAAAAGGAACCGGCTCAGCTGATGCTGTGAGTGTCCCAGCGCAATGTGGACAGCTGCACAGCGCTGGTTTTTAACCAGTACCATTTGATTAAAATTTATGAAAGATTTGAAACGAATCTAGTGATATGGACTTCCGCAAGATAAACACCTTTTTCAGAAAAAATATTATACTGTAATATTTTGCATGTAAAGAGAAACATAAAAATTAAATAAGCTTGCAGAGAATAGACCTATAGGTACTGAAATGACCGTATTATTCTTTCTGAATTTAGAATTTTTATTTCATATAATTATTGTCCCAATATATTTTATAGCATTAGCAAATTCTTAGTTTTATATACGGCTAATTTCATATTGATTTCACACTGTATAAATTTCGTAGTGTTCCATTAAAATAATACAATCTAATCCGAGTAAAACAGCAACAAGTCATTGTCATAATCCAAGGAAAACAAAACGGCGAACGGCGGAGCTCATCTAATCCCGCGTAAAAGAAAATTGGGGGTATAAACTAACCTTGTCCTATCAACCCTCGCCATATTGTGGTAACACGCTTCAGATAAATAACGTCTGTTCACGGTTGTACAAAGTAGATAGCAGCTGCTACGCAGAGACAATTTCTCGCTAAACTGGCTACAGAAATTGAATCTCCACACCCTATAACCAATCATTAACATTTAACGATGGGTACATTTGGATGGGTGATTATAATACGCTCAGTTCTATTTATTGATTGAGAGTTTACGATTAGGTGTAACCGGTCTCTTTAAACGGCCTTAAAAAGGAGATGTTATAAATTCATTTCTTATTTTTTTGTGTACATTTGAATGGATTATTATAATACACTTAGTTCTATTTATTGATCAAGGCTTTACGATTAGGTGTAATTGGTGTTTTAAAACAGATTTAAAAAGGAGATGCTGTAATTTTTTTTTGTGTATATTTGGATGGGTAATTATAGTACGTTTAGTTCTGTTCATTGATCGAGAGTTTACGATTAGGTGTAATCGATCTCTTTAAGCGGCCTTAAAAATTTATTATTATTATTTTTTTTCTGTACATTTGGATGGATCATTATAATATGCTTAGATCTATTTATTGACTGAGGGTTTACAATTAAGTGAAACCGGTCTCTTAAAATGACTTTAAAAAGGAGATATTGTTCATTCATTTTTTGCGTACATTTGGATGGGTATTTTCATACGTTAATTATATTAATTAATTAAGGGTTTATCATTAGGTATAACCGGTATCTTGAAGCGGTCTTAAATTTTTTTTGTGTATATTTGGACAAGTGATTTTAATACGCTTAGATCTATTTATTGATTGAGCGTTTACGATTTGGTGTAACCGGTCTCTTTAAGCGGCTTCAATAAGCAGATGGTCGTAAACACGTATTTATTTTTTATGTATATATCACGCAATATCTTCGCCGTATTTATCTGTGGCTGCAAATTTTCAATTCAACTCTGCTTTTGATCCTTCTTGGAATCGATGGAGTTGTGGGTCCGATAAGTTTTTTTTTTTATTTTCGGAGAAAAATCTACTTATTAATATTCGATTCCGCATTCTAAATTCGAATACTTTGCATGTAACATCTCGTTTTTTTTTTCTAAATACGAATTCTGAGACTGGTTAATATTGATGTTGCCATGTTAAAGTTGCTGTTTTTATTTTTTTTTTGAGAAAAAAAAATTGTATAAAAGGATTTGTAACTAAGTTTCTGAAGTCACTAGCTATGTCTGCGACTACGTTTGTGTGACCAGGATAAAAAAAAACTCTAATAATAATATGTATTTATGATAAATAGATTGTGTATGCCGCATTTAATGATTATTGTTTGAGCCTGGTTACCAGAGGGAGACTTTGTACAAAAGTCGTTTGCTTGGGTACCTCTGTCACATTCGTGTTTCAACCGTAAAGCAGCTGTGTTTGCATGGCTGTGTTTTGGTTTGATGGGTGGGCAGTGAATTTACAGGGTACAAAGGAATAACACCTGAGTCCTCAGGAATGGCAACGCATGGGGGTTATTATAGGCGAAACAGTATACTTTGTTGTGTCAATGGTACTGCTCATATCTATAGGCGACGGTTACCACTTTCCATCAGGTGGGCCGTCAGCTTGTTTGCCATTCTAAGTTGTATAAATAAATAAATGTTGTTTGAGCTAATAAATAAATTAATAATAAGTTATTTTAAATACACAATCGGGACTTAACGGGATAGAAGCTTTTACAGGTAAATAGCACTTACGTACCTGCTTCTTTATTGCCGACGTTTCCACGTGGATTGTACCACGTCGTGGTCACGCCACGACTGAAGTGAGCGTCGTATTCGCCTGACAGCGCGTATTCTCTTCGAGTACCCTCATACTGTCACCATTATTATCTAGAGCAGGGGTTCCCAAACTTATTTTGTCTACTGCCCACTTTGGGAATAAATTATTTTTTAGCGCCCCTATTTTTTCATTTACTTAAAAAATACTGCTACTTTAAATTAAATTAATAAATTATTGTGTAAATTCTGTAAATTCATCATTTTATTCTGAGTCTCTTACTTTAGGCTTGCAGTGCCTACAAGGGGGCGTTATCGCCCCCTTTGGGAAAGGCTGACCTAAAAGTACCCAGACATCCACTTCAGTCCTGTTGTGCCCACGACGTGGTTCAATCCACGTCGAAACGTCGGTAATAAAGCAGCACGTATGAAGGTACTGTACGTTTTCACAAAAACAGCTGTGAGTAAACTGCATAAAATCTAGAAGACAGAAGAAAACAGACAGACAGAAGACAATGCATATAATGAAGAGTTTGGTTTTCCAATTTGTCTGTATAGCGCAGAAACTTGGACGATCAGGCAACAAGAACGCCGAAAAATTTATGCTCTAGAGATGTGGTGCTGGCGACGACTGCTGCAAATACCTTGGACTGCCTTTCGAACTAACGTTTCCATTCTGAACGCACTGAAAATCAGAGAGAGATTGTCGTCGACTGTTTGTATACGAATTCTCAAGTACTTGGGCCATATCATCCGGAATGAAGATTGTATGGAACGTCCAATTGTCCAAGCGGTACAAGGCAAACGTTCTCGGGGTTTTTTTCTTTATGGGTGAAAATGGGTAACTCCGCCTGCGCTAACGGGATACGCTGGCGGAGCACCAGTGAAGGGCAATAGATGAGAATAAAAACAGGCCAGTTAGCCCATCATGATAAATTCATCAGGAATTAACCATGATAGTTTCCAGGGGGAACCGCGAGGAGGTCGACCTGGTTGGGTATATTGCTAGCAATGGGATTCTCAGTCTCCATTACTAACAATCCCTTTCCCCCCAACATTCTCGGGGTAGATCACCAACGCAATGGACTGACCTCATCAAAACGGCCACACAGCAGTCTTTTGTGGAATGCTCTCGCTCAGCGGCGAACAGAAGTAGATGGAGACAGATTGCGAGGACCTCAATCGCGAAGGAGAGCCTCATCGACGATCCACTATCATTGTGAAAACCACGACCACTCTGTCAAGAGTGTACGACTGAAGAGAGAGCGATGTAGGTACTATGTACTTACCTGTAAAGGCTTTTACATCTTGTTAAGTCCCGATTATATGTGTAAACAATGTTAAAGTTTAAAATTAACTAAAGTTTAATATTAACTATAAGTTATTATTAGTAGTTAAATAATGGGAGCAGATAAGGTTCGTCAAGATATATTACCGTACCAATATAATACCATAGCAAGATTAATATCCCATTCTTATGGCATAAAAATGGATTGTACGGTTATAGCAGGTAAAGGGTTACAATAAAAAAAAAAATATGCGTTTTGTATAATGTGGTGTACGCGTAAGAATTTTTATGAGGGGCCCTTCGGAAAGTATGGCAACATCTGCATTACCTGTCAAACGTTAAAAGAAAATCATACGCCAAATTACGTTTAACGCCTCGAATTTGAAATCAATTCCATTTTTACATAAGTTTGCGAAGTAAAAAATTATGTTCGTTCTTTCTAAGTGGGATTTTTTTTTTCTTTTCCTTTAACGACGAAAGTTGCAAACAAGCATACAGCCTGTCTGGTAAGTTTAGTTAGTCCGAAATGATATGATTTAGTTCACTATTATCCAATCATAAACTTTTATCTATTAATAACATCTTTTACAATGTAATCACTATTATGAGTGATGATAAAATATCCATTTCTGTTAAAATACATTTGTTAAAACTTTAAGCAGAAATTTGAGATAAAAAAAAAATAAGAGACAATTTTTTACTTAAAGTTGGGTAAAAAATTACCTAATCTGGCAACACAGGTCCTCTATCACGTTATCGTTCGTTCACCATAACGCCTACAGTCTAGACGCCTCTGACTGTATAAATGCCATGACATTCCGTAAACACTTTCTTCCATGCACAACCAAAGCATGGAACCTACTCCTAGCAGGAGTATTTCCATCCAAATAGATACAACATTGAAACCTACATACAATAAACGAGCATACTCCTTCTTAAAACGCTGGCAACACACATGCAACTTCTTTTGCGGGTGCCTATGGGTGGCCTATGTTATATAAAAAAAAAAAACTACCCCGTTACAGACTGAGGTCGTGAACATATTATTAAAGAACTTATTCAACATACCTCTAGCTCTTGGTTTCATCAGCAGTTTCTTGATGATGTTGTCGTAGGAATTTTCTTCCGCCACCCCGGAGTCTTTCACCAACTTCTCTTTCACCGCTATGCAGATGCCGTTGCGGGCTAGGAGTGCCTCTAACTCTTCGAAGGCCTGTAAAAAACTTTTCATTGAACAAATATTATGGTAAAAATACATAAATAGTAGGATTTTGTGCATAATAAATAATAAATGCTAAATATAATCAATTCAATTCCTTAATCCACAAGCCATATATATACAAACACACATATACACATACGCGCACGCACGCACACACGCACGCACACACACACGCACGCACGCAAGATATGTGTGTGTGTGCGAGTGTGCGTGCGTGCATGAGTGCGTGCAAGCGTGCGTGCGTGCGTGCGTGCGTGTGTGTGTGTGTGTGTATGTGCGCATGTCATGAGGAACAAGCAACGAACATGGGGAGACACAGTCCAATATCTCTGTATCCGTGCTAACTTAAAAAGTTTGTTTCATATTGGTCCGATCTGGAATTGCACCCAGGACCTCATATAAGCAAAGTAACGTGCCTACCACTATGCTTCATAGGTGGTCAAAGTAGTAACAAATAGTTAATAATGAAGTGTAGTAGTTTAGTGTAATTTTCAAAATTTTATTTTAAAAATTCAAATGTCTTAGTTTTAATTGACTCTATGTACTAAAAAAATTTTTATACAAAAAAAAAAACCATACTGTTTTATAAAATACACACTGTGATAGTATGTATTTTATAAGACAACATCAGCAATTTTAAACCTTTTTTTTTTATAAGTGTTTTTCAGACCAAAAAATGGCGTTATTAATAATTCTGTCAATAATATAATTAATGCCAATTTTGAAACGTCATTTTAAGTAGTGCAACATAAATTAATTCAAATTTATTCCATATATCATTTTCAATTTTACTTAATCATAATTATTATGAACTATAAAATATTATATGTCAATTTGCATTAAGTTTAAATTAATTAAACTTACCATAAATTAATTTGTATGTGAACTAATTGAAATTGATAGCTTTCAAACTGGACTTTATGCATTTTATATTTGATAATGTAATTGCAACTCTGTGCACTTGATATAGGATTGAAAGTGTGATGAATTTGTGGCAAATAGGACGATTTAAATATTCACGAAGCTATCGATAATATATACATATATCATGCGATTGATTTTCTTGCACTTCTTTCGTACTTCTTTCGTATTCCCGTGCATCGATTGAATAGTTTATTTAGATTTAATTGTTTAGTAGTTTGGACAGTAGTTGATTAGTACAATATGAACAATAGTTTTTTTTTTTTATACCACTGAGGTGGCAAACAAGCATACGGCCCACCTGATGGTAAGCGGTTACCGTAGCCTATGAACGCCTGCAATACCAGAGGTATTACGCGCGCGTTGCCGACCCTGAAGAAACCTCTTTACCCCCCTTTTGAAGAACCCCACGCTGTAGTCTCTCGGGAAAACCTCGGCAGGGAGCTCATTCCATAACCTGAGTGTTCGTGGGAGAAAGCATCTCTGAAACCGCGTTGTACGCAACCATTTAGGCTGGCATTTTCTATTTTATTAAAAAAAAAACAAAGTAACCGACATAGTCCGAAGGATCAACAAACTGAAGAGGCAGTAGACCGGTCATATAGCTCGAAGAACGGACAATTGACAGGGAAGAAAGGTTTTCGAGCGGTGACCCCGTACACAGTGTAGGAAGACCCCCATTATATTTTTTATTTTTTTATGCCACTTAAAATGGCAAACAAGCTTACGGCCCACTTGATAGAAAGTGGTAGCCGTCGCTTATAGACATGAACAGTACCATGGACATAACAGTGTCGCCATTCCTGAGGACTCAGGTGTTATTCCTCTGTACCTTGTAAATTCACTGCCATACCATAGATGAAGTGATGACCTCAAATGCATTGTAGGGAGTCGGGAAGGGATGTAGGTGATTCAGGACCGTTCCTTATGTACATGCATTAATGCCAATTTAGATGTTATATATAATGTAGTAAATAATTAAATATATATATATATATATATATATATATATATATATATATATATATATATATATATATATATATATATATATAATAATATACATATTTAAAATATAAAATAACCTACCTGTGTGTAAATTCTATTCTAGGTAGTATATTCATTTATTTTAACATCCACTGTATAAGTAGGTAGATATTATATTTATTTATAGTATATGTATTTATGTAATATTTTATTATGTATCTTAATATTTTATTTAACTGTATATTTGTTTATGTATACTAAATATTAATAGTTGTAGCACTTCAGCTGCCCGCTAGCAACATGTTTTCTAACTGCATTGGGTTGACTGGAAGAGATCTCTGTCAGAGATAAGTCCACCCTTGCTCACAATATTTATAAATGCATTAACATTGTAATTTACAAGTGCAATAAAGAATATATATATATATATATATATATATATATATATATATAAATTCAATGGTTAAATATTTGCATGCCATTTAATGTGGCGAAACATAATGGACATCTTGTAAACTTGACAAATGCAACATCTTATCTACAATGTTTCTGGCAAGTAAATTTAAATTCTTTCATATGTCTTGAAATAAAGTCTTCTCGTCTACATTTATTTGGAATATAAACACATGAGACTTGATATAGAGTAAATATTGTATGCAAATGCCCGTCTTATTCGTATATTTAATTATTGAATTTTTAAAGTTAATTTGGTACCACGCTTTGTAGTATTAGAGGATTGCGCACATTCAAAATGTATGTATGCTCATAATTTTGGAGGCAAATACACGAACAGCGTTAAATAACGTGTCATTTTAAATTAACATTATAATAATTTATAATTAAATTAATAATAAAGTATAATTAATTAATAATAAAGTATAATTAATTATTAATAAAGTATAATTAATTAATAATAATAGTAATTGGAGATCAGTCCAATAGTAGTAATTATTATATTTATTATTTTTATCTTTGTCCGAATTAATCGAGTCTACTAAAGTTTGCGTAAATTTTTATTATGTTAGATAGATAGATAGATAGATACTCTTTATTGGTTCCTCCAAAAGATTACAATAGTAAACTTATTATAAATATAAACAATTACAAGAAATAATCACAATGAGAAAATAATGGGTGACGTTATCGCTAAGAGCGATCTCTTCCAGGCAACCTTTGGATGGAGAGGAGTAATTATAAACAATTTGGTAGGAGGCACGATGAAAAATTTTTTGTTAGTTCTAGACATGGGAGATGTAATACATATAATAATATAAATATTATCCCTACTCATTATATATATATATATATATATATATATATATATATTATGTTATACTAGAAATAGATTATAGATATTATATACAAACCTTAATCCCATAACTGGACTCCTCATAAATGATGGACACGTAACTCCATCCCAGCCTCTTGACAATTTCCACCATGGCTTTCACTTGGTGCAGGTCAGATGGGATTGTGCGCGTGAAGTATTCAAATCGGGCCTTGTTCGACAGCTCCGGTGATGTTGAGAAGAATGATACCTGGATATAAGAAAATATATGTATTTGACAAGTATATATTTGTCTACAAAAGAAAGGAGGCCATTTGTAAATGCAGCAATAAACGTTCTTTAAAAAATCAATCAAGGTCGTCAAGCCCTTCTTGAGACGGGTTGATAGAGACCTCGGGGAGTTCTCCTTTACCCCGGATTTAACTACTGGGGCATCTACTCCCTTGGATCTCTTCCTTGCCCCGAGGTCTTCACCTAACGCTTCCACCAGAAGGATCAGAAGATCTGTCGTCGTCGTCGACCAATCACATAAATCACAATAAAATATCCTATACTGGGGGGGAAAGGGATTGTTAGCAATGGAGTTTGACAGCCCCATTGTTAGCAATATGCCCTATTAGCTCGACCTCCACGTGGTTCCCCCTGGAAACCACCGTGAACAATTTTTGTTGAATTCTTCACGATGGGCCAACTGACGTGCTTCATCCTCACCTATCTTTCTTCGCTGGTGCTCCCGCCAGCATATCCCGATAGCGCAGGCGGGGTTACCATTCCATTATCACCCATTAAAAAAAAATCCTATACTCCAAATTTGTATATAAACTATCTATGTACCATTCAATTTAAATTCGTACAGTAATTTATGATGTAATGTATAGGTATATCTGTGCAAACTTTCGTATTTATAATTATATTTGTGTACGAAACATAAATCTAATTCCTTTAGATTAATATTTAAAAAAAAAATAAAAGAGAAGTAATATGTCTCCATAATTATTATGAAAGAGCGGTTTCTCCTAACACAAGCAATCTTTGCTTAACAGGAGTAACCAAACCCTGTAATGTAAGTAACTACCTTTGTATAAAGAAATACATTTATTATTGTATTATTATTTCTAGAAAATTCACATCTCCCCTCTTAAGGAGAGGAGATGGCAAACTAACCCCCGGCAGAAGCACAGTCGGCCGGGGTTCAGGGCCCCAGGGAGAGAAACCGGCGTACAATGCGGGCAGAATCTAAGAGCACCGCTTTCTGCATCTTTCCCGGGAGTGAGCCGCCTCGGAATCCCAACCGTCTGAGATGTTGTTCCAGACTGGTTGGGATAAGACCGTTTACCGACATAACGATTGGAATGATTTCGGTGGATGTCACCCCCCACATTTCGGTCACCTCGTGAGCCAGATCGAGATATTTTCTTTTCTTCTCGGTTTCGGCTTTCACGAGGTTCTCGTCATGCGGTATGGTGACATCCACCAAAAACACCATCGAGAGTGCCCGATTATTATTATTATTATAAGAAAGAATCGGATAATACGTAGTTTTATTCTATTAAAATTCCCTAATAAAAAATATCCTAAACAATTGCGGAGATAAATAAAGTTTCTTGGACTAATCATGTACGATAGCAGAAAGAAAATATTGTATAAGTGTTCACAGCCAATCGAGCAAAGCTGCGGGATACTGCTTATTATTTTGTTTTTTATACAACTTAGAATGGCAAACAAGCTGACGACCCACCTGATGGAAAGTGATAACCGTCGCCTATAGACATGAGCAGTACCATGAACATAAAGGAGTATACTGTTTCGCCTACGATACTCCCCATGCGTTGCCATTCCTGAGGACTCGGGTGTTATTCCTCTGTACCCTGTAAATTCACGCCATATTCCACTCTTCAAACCAAAACGCAGCCATGCAAACACAACTGTTTCACGGTAGAAACACGAATTGTAATATCATTGAAGTATTTAAGTTTAAACCTAAGAAAATGTACAGATAGAAAATTAATTAGTGCTGGTAGGTATTATTCTTTAGTTAGGATTCTACCCAACAGAAAACAATGAGTTTAATTAAAACATAATGCTATTGCGAAAACGTCGCCACTTTAAACTTTACCTCGATTATTAGTTTGAGTTAATTTTTAATTAAGTTAATTAATTAAAACATCATAATATTTTTAATTAATATTATTCTATGAACAAAAATTACTTTTTCACTGGAAGGGACATGAACAAAATTAAATTGCCAATTTACAGAATGCCTGTTTGTAATGATGACGGTAGATTATTAATATTTATGTTATTGTAATTTTAAATTTATTATTTACAATTAAAAAGTTTACAAATTTGTCTCTTTTACTTTGGATCCTATCTTATATTCGCTTATTAGTAAAACGCCTCGATTTTGAATGAATGAATGATTTATTTGATTGATTTATACATTTTGCATGAATAGTAGAGCATATCATCGTCATTTCAGCCATTATCCGTCCACTGCTGGACATAAGCCTCCCCCATAGACTGCCATAAAGAACGTCCTGAGCCACCTGCATCCACTGACTCCCTGCAATGCATTTGAGGTCGTAACTCCATCTAATGCTAATGCTTACATTTTTTGCATCAGTTTGTTGCATCTACTATGAATTAGATGGGTTTTCTTAAAAGATAGACTTATGTTTATGAGTTTTTTGGCCTATAAAAGAGTGAATAGTATTCAGTAAAGATGCTCATCGTTTCGATTACAATATTTATCTTGTTATTTCAAATGTAATATATAAAATTCTCGTGTCGCGGTGTTTGTTACCAATCTACTCCGAGACGGCTTTACCGATTTTTATGAAATTTTATGTGCATATCGGGTAGGGCTGAGAATCGGCGAACATCTATTTTTCAGATCCCTCAATAATAAGGGTGATCCACCCTTAAATATTTTTTTTTTTATTTTTTTAACATTTTTTTTGTCTTTATTATGATTTAGCATTGAAAAATAGATACAACTTTAAATTTTCACCCTTTTACGATCAACTCCTGTTTTTTAATCGCGATTTTTATATTCCGCAATAGGGTTGCAAGATGGCAATCGAATATAATAATTGTAGTAGGATAAAATTTCATGTATAGTTCTAGAAATAATGTATATGGTAAAACAACGTTTGCAGGGTCAGCTAGTATAAGAATTTTGCATCTTTTTTTTTATTTAAACGTACAATAATATTTTTCCCATATAATAAGTAATAAATGTACATTACGGTAACCCTATCTACGTACACATGGATGAAAAATATCTGTTTTTAGCGAAGCATTTGTATGGAAACACTCTGACAATTTAAGAAAAAAATTGGGGAAAAAGGGACTGGAAACCATTATGGTTAATTATTCTGACAATAATTACGACGGGCCAACTGACTTGCTTTCATTCTCAACTCATTCCTCACTGGTGCCCCGCCAGCCCGTTACCATTCCATTATCATCAAAAAAAAAAAAAATGTAAAATAATAAAATATTAAATTAGTGTGAATTTGTATCATACGAAAATAATGTTGATATTTGAAACTAAATATTAGACGCTCTTTTACTTTTGGATGAATAAAATAAGTTTTTTTATTACTTACACTCTAATACGTCTTTGAAGTTACGTCTAAGATAAAAATGTTTCGTATCAACTCAAAGGAAATCACTGTTAGTGACTTCCCTGTCATGCATGTAGCGCCATCTCTTATTTGGCATGTCAGTCTCATATTAGCTTTGACGGGGCCTCGTAATCAGTCCTTTTGCTTTTACATACTAGGTACATAGTAACATTTTTCATTTCATAAAGCTTTATCCACATAACGCCGAACTAGGGGGGAGAAGGGATTGTTAGTAATGGGGACCTATTGCTAGCAATATACCCTGTCAGGTCGACCTCCTCCTGGAAACCATCGTGATTGATTTATTGTTAGATGCGTCACGGTGTGCTAACTGACCTGCTTCAGTCTCACCTATCATCACTCACTGGTACCCTTCTAGCGTATACCGATAGCGCAGGCAGGGATACCATTCCATTATCATTCATTAAAAAAAAAAAACGCCGCACTAGACCGGGAAGGGACGGGTCAAAAAACCCTTTAAGAGGTATAGATAAAGGATGATAGGTGAGAATGAAATGGCATCTTTGTTTTTTATTAATGGGCGATAATGGTATGGTAACCCCGCCTGTGCTATCGGTATACACTGGCGGGGCACCAGTGATAGATGACTGATGAGGATAAAAGCAGGCCAGTTAGCCCATCCTGACGAATTCAACTAGAATTAGACACGATGGTTTTCAGGGAGAATCACGTGGAGGTCGACCTGACAGGGTATATTGCTAGTAATTAGGCTATTTGACCCCATTACTAACAATCCTTTTCCCTCGAGGCATCTCTGTTAGCTCATCGTATAGAAATCACAATGATTTCCAAGGGAAACCGTGTGGAGGTCGATCTGATAGGGTATATTGCTAACACGAGGCCAGTTAATCCCCATTACTATCAATCGCTTTACCCCCCGTACCCCCATAATGCCTAATGCAGTCTTTACCTGTGGAATCTTGAAGAGTCGTAGTAAGTTGGCCACTTGTACGGAGGTGACGCTCGAGGCGGCCCCGACCACTCCTGATATCACCTTCCGAACTGCGGTCGCGTTGCAGGCGTACTCAGCATCGTCGATGTTACTTATTGAGCCTGGGTATAGGTAAAACATATATTAATCTAATGGTTAATGATTATACATATATAATAGATAATGGGTCAGACCTTTCTTTCCTGTGAGTGTCTGAACCCTCTGATCGACCCGATTTCCACGTGTGTTAGATATTTATTTTAAATTATATTAATTTTCTTAAACATCTTGTGTCAAAATGTATTGATCAGGTAAACTTGCCACAACATGTGCACACAGCATGGTCCCGGCATAGAATGGACCACCCCTTGTTTTCCCGTGAGTGTCGTAAAAGGCGACTAAGGTAAGTTACTTATTTTTTAATAGATGAAAATGCAATGGTAACCCCGCCCGGGCTATCGGTAAACACCGACGAGGCACCAGTGGAAGATGATAGGTGAGAACGAATGTAGGTCAGTTGGCCCACTGTTTCAAGCATTAGGTTATGGAATTCATTGCCTGTTGTTATTAGAAGTACAAAATCCATTGATGCTTTCAAACGACAAGTGAAAGATTATCTTTTATCTATCTGATTCTTCTTCATTTAAAAATTGGCATTCTTTATTTATGTATTTATATAATTATTTATTTTATGATAGGTTGTTTTCCTTGTGCCTATAATTATTTATATGTATCCTAGTATTGGGTACATATTTAACATATATGCATGGGATTATATAATTTTGTTTGATTGATATGTATATGTATGTGATTGTGTATGTATGTATGTGTATGTATATGTATATATATGTATGTGAATATGTATGTATATATGTGTGTATATATGTATATAATTTTTATATATTTTTAATTTGCAAAAGATGCTTTTTTAATTATACAGCACTATCATACCTACTTGTACAACAATTAGTCCATTACCTTAAGGTTGTCTTGAAAAGATTACTCTCAGCAATAAGACCGCCTTACTGTACTTATACAATTGTATCGTTATGTTTGTAAATTGTCTTGCTTATTTCCTATATTGTATAATGCAAATAAAGTATACTCATTCATTCATTCATTCATATATATATTATATGTTTATATTATAGATTTATTGAATTTTTTAAATATGAGTACCTAATATGTATTATTACATTTAATCTATACTTATAATAAATCTGTAGAGAGATCAATTCTGTACATGAAATATATTTCCAAAATAACTATCAGGCGGTGATTAGTGATCGATACTGATGCCAAAAATGCAATCAGTGAAATTTTTGTCTGTCTGTATGTTCGTTATAGAAACAAAAACTACTCGACGGATTTTAACGAAACTTGGTACAATTATTCTAGATACTTGATTTATTAGACAAACACAATTAAATTAAAAAACAAAATTTCAAAATTGATAAATAAGATTTTTTTTAAAGAATTGGATAAACATGTTAACAGCACACCTGGTGTCATGTACCTGCCATTTCTTTAAACCTTAAATTTATATACAAATTTATAAATAGTGTCATGTGCAAAAAATCTGTCAACTTTTAGTTTTTTTTTTTTAGTACGTTTGTTCCGTTGTGGAACAGTCTAAGGTCGGAGACCATGCTGCCTATAAACTTTTAGTTAGAGAAACTTAGAATAATATACCTATATGAATTTATACTGCCGTGTGGTACCTGCATAGAATAAGCCACCCATTCCTTTTCCGTAGGTGTGGTGAGAGACGACTAAGGAGGGCGCGGGATGGGTAGCAGAGTTCCTCTTAAAACATCACCAAAGCCTAACTGCGGTTGCTAATCCGGCTGCTTTTCATCACGCTACGATCAATAGGAGCAGAGCAGTGATGGGAAATGTTGGGAAAACGGGAGAAGTTACTTTATTTTTAAGCTTCCGTCGCGTGTGCAGCCTTAATGGCCACTTTTTATAATGTAAAAATGTCCACCCGTGCGACGTCGGGACTGTACGCTAGTTTATAATATAATAATATAAATAAAAATAAACAATACTATGTGATTTTAACGGCCATCAAAAGTGGACGGTTCTATCTGTAAATTGCGGTGCCCCTACCCCCATAGGGTCACGTGTCTTATGTGCTTACTTATTATAATAACTAATTTGTACCACGCAGCATGCGAATAAATATAAATAAATAAATAATAATTTATCACTTATTTTTTTTATACCATTAAGGTGGAAAACAATACGGCCCACCTGATGGTAAGTGGTTACCGTAGCCTATGAACACCTGCAATACTAGAGGTATTACGCGTGCGTTGCCGACCCTGAAGAAACCTCTTTACCCCCCTTTTGAAGAACCCCATGCTGTAGTCTCTTGGGAAAACCTCTGCAGGGAGCTCATTTTACAAGCTGAGTGTTCGACTTGGCCAGGCGTGTTTGTACAGGCTCTGTTTTTGCACAAATTAATCTATACAATTTGTTCCTATAATCATTTTTTAGAAATCTTGCGATGAAAAAAGTATAGTACATACCCCCAATAAAACGTATAATTTACAAGCAGTATCTCGTAACTTTGCGCGCGAGAATTAGTACATAAAGTACTTTATGTACTAAGTTAGTATATGACCTACACGTGTGCCAAATTTTATATAAATTAGTTCAATGGTTATTGCGTGAACAAGTAACAATCATCCATGCATCTATTATTATAAATTCTCAATATTACTTTTTATGTTATCTCATAAATATTGGTTTGAAGGGTGGGATATGGCGTGAATTTACAGGATACAGAGGAATAACACCTGAGTCCTCAGGAACGGCAACGCATGGGGGGTATCATGGGCGAAACAGTATACTCTGTTCTATCCATGGTACTGCTCATGTCTATAGGCGACGGTTACCGCTTTCCATCAGGTGGGCCGTCAGCTTGTTTGTCATTCTAAGTTGTATAAAAAAAAAGATGTAAGAATAAAGAATTTTCTATATGGCCATTTATTTCCTTTGATTTTACACACAAGTGACTTTACTTTGCACACAGCAATATAGTTGTTGATTTGCTCTTCTAGTAAACATTATGTTCGAAATATAAATATAATTGTATCGTAGAGAAATAGTTTTGCATATTGCATAGAATTGCAGGAGAACAGCTACGGCTCGTAACGTTTTGTAATAAATGAAACACTCAAGTAACGTCTGCGAGTGAAATAAAGCCAATGAAATTGCAGCGAAGACTACATTTTGCTGTTAGTATATGGTAGATACAGGGAAGCCGATATATTTGTTAACAAGTTATTGTTACTCAGCTAGAATTCTTATTGGTTGCTATTGTTCTACAATGATATATAAATGATTATTTATTTATATTATATTTATTGCACCACTTAAAGATATACATACATACATACATATCGATCACGCCTGTCTCCCATTAGGGTAGGCAGAAACAATGGAACGCCAAATGCTTCGATTCAAACAAACCTCTTTCGCTTAAAGATACAAAACAATATTTTAGCTTGCTTAGTATCAATAAAACTTAAAGTACTTCTACATAACTGTAATTGTATATATTTAATGTAGATAACACCAATAGAGTTAAAATTTTCTTAACTGTAATCTTCTAGTTAAACTTTAATGTTATTTCCTTTATTCTGTTTATTTTTATAACTTAATATTGTTAGATTTGCATGTATATTAATGTATATTCCCCTTATTGGCAGGATTTTGTCAGTAGTTACCACGCTTGGCAGGCAGATTGGCAACCGCAGTTAGGCTTTAGTAATGTTTTAATAGACACGCTTCTATCCATCTATCTAAGTTTTCTTAATTGCCTCATACGACACCCATGAGAAAGGAAGGGTTAGCCCATTCCATGCCAAGATCACAAGGCATGGATAATGATTATCAGGAGACAGGTAACTTTACTGTTTGTTTGCCAGTTTCTAACGACAAAAGAGCTTTTTTTTTTTTAATTGATACAATTTATAGTGTAATTTAGAAACTCAACTATATTTTTTTAATGGATGATAATGGAATGGTAACCGTGCGCTGTCGGTATATGCGGAGCACCACTGAGGGATGATAGGTGACGTAAAAGCAGGTCAGTGAGCCCATTGTGACGAATTCCACTAGAATTAACCACGATGGTTTCCAGGGGGAACCGCGTGGAGGTCAATCTGGCAATGGGTCAGTTAGACCCTATTATGTTAGTAATCCCTTTCCCCCCCTACTCAACTATATTGTATGCGGATTAATCAAGTATTTCTCTCTACCATCAGCAGATTGGTATGCAGAGATTGAAGGTGAAATATATGGGAGTTGCTTTTTACAAAGTACGTAAACAACTTCGATGCAAATAAAGTTGCGGCCACTGGTACATAATAAAGCTGCAACAGTGCAACCACTTTCATACTAGCTGCAAGTTTGTTGAGCGGAAATCGAAAATAAATATCGAAAGGAAATCGTGTAAATCTTGCAACGTGCACTTCAAAAGAGCATCTGTGTGACGACGTTCCACGACGCTTAATGAAAACTTTAAATTACAACTTGGAGAGATATATCATTAAAGTAAATGTGTGAGATGCAGTTGCATCGACTAAATGCAAAGAAGTGTACGCTTAACGATGCATCTTGTAATATAAATACATGGACTATTTTACTTTTAAAATATCTTCATAAAAAGGAAGTGCTCAATTCTGTTGAATTTTTTTTTACTAATTTGAAAAATTCTTTTTTTAAATTTCAAAGAGATATCTTAGTATAGTTCGATTTTTAAATCAAAATAGTTTTTGCACGATTGACGTACGTGTCTTTTTTTCTGGTGGAATAAAATGTACCTGTTTATATTATAAATTTAAAAGCTATATGTAAATATTGCTTTACATAGAAGCGTGACAAATTATGATTATGTACTAATCTCATTATTACTTATTTTAAAACAGATAAACGAATTTATGTACGATGAGATGTCAGCGGTTTATTCGATTTAAAACATTACACGTGTCAATCATAATAAAATTTATTTGAAATCACCGCGAGAGAAAAATCTACCGATCGCAAAAGGAATTATCAAAATCAGTTCGAAATTGACGAAAATATAGCTTAACAAATTGTGAGTCCTCTTCTTTTTCAACCGACTTCAAAAAGGAAGGGTTTTCGTTTTGGTTGTATGTTTTTTTTTGTTTATTACCTCATAACTTCATCGGTTGTAAATTGATATGGAAATATCTTTAATATGAAAGGATATACTTACTGGTTATTCCCATAGAAATGTTATCGAAATCCTTTCACTAGTTTAGTTTTTATTTCAAAATAACTGAATTTGTCACAATTGAAGTCGGTTATTTTGTGACCCAAAATCAACAATAAAAAGAAATAAATAAATGGGCTACAAATAAATATATATCTTGTTGTAAAATTAATGAAATAAATTTAATAAATACGTACCTTTGATAAAATCCACCGCCATTTCCAGTCCATAAGTGTCTTTATCACAGTCATCTAATATATGAGCTCCAAGCGTCACTCCCGGCAACAATTTCAGTTCGTTGTTAATTATATCTAACGTGTATAACATTGTCTCTAACGCCTGAACACCGCCTTGTGGCATCACTGGCCCACAAGTCATGTTATCGGATCTCTCGTGCACCATCATTAGGCCTCCGAGTACTAAATCGCCTTCAATAACTGCTTCTCTCTTTATGGGCCAGTGTGGATGGTGTTTTTTGTCTTTCACTTCACCTATTTGATCGTTGGACATGTTTAACCAATCGCTTTCCCTTTCGTCTCTCAGCGGTATCATATCGTAACTAACTAAATCTCTATCGATTAAATGTAAACCATCTTTGAAGTTACTAATGGAGTCATAGAGGTTGCTATCTTTTAAATCATCCAAATTTGGCACGTTCGTGTGTTTATGCTTATGCCGATGGTGATGTCTGATGCTTGGGTTCTCTTTGTAGAAGTCACGCTCGTCCCTATATCTGTCTGGCCTCATTTCCGATCGCTGCGTGATGATGAGGAGCATAGTCGTCGCCAACCAGCGCTGGCCGGGTCGCATGTTACTGTTGTGTGTCTCATGCCATGCTCAAGTGTTGGGTCCATGTTGGTGAATGCAACCCGTACATTTTAATCTGTAACAAATGAAATCAATTTTGAATTATGTTTTATGAAATCACTTAAATATCTCTTCGTTTTATAATTAGGATGGTATTTTTTGGCATCAAGTTTCTAGGCCGATGATAGGTAAATGCTGTACCATATAATTATCAAATAGTTTATAATTACTCCTCTCCATCCAAAGGTTGCCTGGAATAGATTTAGAATCGCTTTTAGCGATTAGGTCGCCCATTGTTTTCTCATTATGATTATTTCTTGTAATTGTTTATATCTATAATAAGTTTACTATTGTAATCTTTTGGAGGAAACAATAAAGAGTATCTATCTATCTATCTATCTATCTATATTATTTTTAAAAGGATAGCGGTACATCTGTAATTCCTACTATGTTGTGAGTGCTCATGGGCATCTTCACTAACCATCAGGTGAGCCACATGCTCGTTTGCACTCTTTGTTATAAAGCAAATAAAATATTGCAGTAAGTATGTAAAATATTTACCTACGCTTTCACACTATAGCTCGTTAGACTCTCGTAGTCTATTTGGAAAAAGATATTATGTATTATAGAGACAATCTGATGCACAGGAATGAAAAGAGAATGCACGTTAAATATTTTTGGTAAGTTAATTTACATTAATATCAAAAAGGGGATTTTATTTTTTTCTTGGTAATAGATAAATTCAAACAATACGCAGCTGTAATATGGGCTGTAATTATATATATATCACTTGTAAATTACATAGTTAAAGCATTTTTTTAAATCATTAAAAATAATTATGCCCATGTTACGGCCGCGTATTGTTTGAATTTATCTATTACCAGGAAAAAAATAAAATCCTTATATATTTCATATAAAAAAAATAACTAATATATTTCATAGAATCACAAAAAAAGAATAATAATGATCAGTCGTATTCATGATCCGTACCCGACCCAAAGGTCCCCGTGACACTTGCGGCATTTCCGCGTTGGATTGCCTGAGATATGGATTGGATTGCCGCATTGGATAGATGGAGAGCCAGATACGTACCAGAACGATATATATATATATATATATATATATATATATATATATATATATATATATATATATATATATATATATATATATATATATATATACCAGCGTGAAGTTGGTGTAGGTCGCTAGTCAGATTATTTAACAAAATTATATAAAAAGTGGACAAGCTAAAATTAATGATATTATATCCTTACAGTTTATATATATAATTAAATGTAATTCAAATAATTTGAAAACAGCCCGTCTCTTTTCAAATAAAATAAACAATAGACAATGTCAAATTAAACAATAGACAATTTCTGAGTAATTTTTATCGGAACAATGTTTAGAAGGACTTGACATGTCCTTTGTTATTTGCTTGGAAAGGTTTTTTCCTATTAAAAATTTGTAGCAAAACAATATTACTTCTAATTTATGATCACAAATTTTAAATGACAGTAAAATATAAATTTATCATTATTATATCAGCCTTTAAAAGTCCACTGTTGAACATAAGCCTCCCCCTTAAGGGGATTTGCCAGTAGTTGCCACGCTTGGCCGGCAGATTGGCGACCGCAGTTAGGCTTTAGAGATATTTTAAAAGGGTTGTTGCTACCTATTTTTCGTCCTCCCTTAGTCGCCTCTTACGACACTCACGGGAAAGAAATGGGTGGCCTATTCTGTACCGGGACCACACGGCAATATAAATTAATTAAACTGGGGGGAAGGGATTGTTAGTAATAGGGAGGTTATTCCCCATTACCACAGATAATGTAATGTTATACTAGTCATTACTATTAATACACCTTATCAGGGCGACCTACACGCGGTTCCCCTTGGAAACCATCGTGACTAATTTATCTTTAAATTCGTCACGATGGGCTAACTGACCTGCCCTTTCACCTTCACCTATCATCCCTCACTGGTGCCCCGTTAGTGTATACCGATAGCGCAGGCGGGATTATCATTCCATTATCATCCATAAAAAATTTAATTAAACTGAATTAAAATATAGGAATGTGTATAATATATTTCTATTCATATAATTTTCCTATTACGAATTTACAGGGTACAGAAGAATAATACCTGAGTCCTCAGTGGTAATGCAAAAAAAAATGACTGTCCATCTGATAGTAAGTGGTAATCGTCGCCTACATGAATGAATACCATAGACCGACCAGAGGGAGACTTTGTACAAAAGTCGATTGCTTGGGTACCTCTGTCCCATTCGTGTTCCAACCGTGAAGCAGCTGTGTTTAATTAGAGCTTAATAAAAATATAAATAAAAAAAAAATAAATCAGACTATAGTCTGCTAATGTTTAATATTAGTACGAATAAAAACTCGACCGATTAATCGAACGATTCGATTTGTGACTAACTTCATTTTGATAGTGTTTGTGTTATAATTTCAACATTAAAACTTGGTTATCAATTTTCATTAACTTTCTATTGAAATAAAAGATCTATAGAGATACTGGTTCTCGAATAACAAAATTCATTAATTAAAAAAATATTAATTAAGGATCTTTGACAAGTGTAAACAAAAAAAGTTAATTGGCCGATCAGGTTTTATAGTTTCCAAAGAATATAATGAATGCTCCGTTTGAGCTCAATTTCTTCTTTTTTTTTTTCTACATAATATGTTTTGTATGAAATATTATTTTGTGAATAAATTACTTTTTTAAATGGCTAGGTTGTCAAAAAGCTATAGATTTGGACAAATACTAATTATCGAAGTTTGAAAAGTTTGTTTCAGTTCGAATTAGACTTGATATTTTATAGAACGTGTCACTGTCTGAAGGTTCAAGTCCATTTATCAATATTTGTGTTTTGTATTTGATAAATTATTATTTGATAAATGTACACGTAGTATGTAGAGAACAAATAAAAGTAAATTTAGTATCTTTTTAAATTATTAAGAGAGACGGGGAGTTCATCCTCATGTCCTACAGCCTCAATGGTCGCGCACTGCGCGGTTTCAGAGATGTTTCCTCCCACGAACACTCAGGTTGTGGAATGAGCTCTCTGCCGAGGTTTTCCTAAGAGAATACAGCATGGGGTTCTTCAAAAGGGGAAAAAGGGTTCTTCTTTCACCCTTCAAACCGAAACACAGCCATGCAAACACAACTACTTCACGGTAGAAACACGAATGGGGCAAAGGTGCTCGAGCAAACGACTTTTGTACAAAGTCTCCCTCTAGTCATTTGTTTGCCTTTCTAAATATCATAAAAAATTTAAGCCGTAGGTAAATGTACATATCCTAAAAAGAAATGTCTGTCACTGTAGATAACGTTCTCTGTATGATTAAAGGGTTTATCAAATTCTACCTTAGTATTCAATCCAGTTTGCCACATATTCCGAATGGCTGTTCAGTTCACCGCATGTTAACTCAGCATTCAGTTACAAAGGCAAAGTAAACATTCACTAGCGTTGGCAGGGCAATGATAAAATCTGGTTTTCCATTACTCCATCAGTTTCTAATACTCTCGGCTCAGAGAGATCTGTTCATGATTTCGGTAAAACTTAATTAAAAACTGTGTCCCACAAGCAAAAATGTTTATTTTAACTGTGGCAAAACCATTTTGATAATATTTCTGTGAAGTCAATTTGTAAGTTTTCCTTTTCAGATGAAAGAATTTTCCAAATCACTAAGACTGTGTTATGATGTTACAAACATAATAAATAATACAACGGAATTGGAAAGCTCCTTATTTTCGAAGTAGGTCGGAAAAACAATGTTCATTCCAAAATCAAAATTTTGAAGAATGAGAAATATTTATTTTCATCAAATGAATTATAAAATTATTTTGTAAGCACTTCAAAAGGTTTTTAGATCACTTTTTTAATTTATCTACAATAAAAAAATTCTTGATATTACTATATTAACATGTTTCAGAAAATATTATGTATACCTATATAATAGAAAATTTTACAAGATTGATAGAATAAGTATACTTTATTTGCATTATACAATATAGGAAATAAGCAAGATAATTTACAAATACAAATTTACAACGATACAATTGTATAAGTACAGTAAGGCGGTCTTATTGCTGAGAGCAATCTTTTCAAGACAACCTTAACGTCAGAAAAAGGCATTCATAGGCTACAGTAAATGCTTGTTTGCCACCTCAGTGGTAAAAAAAATATTGTCGCTCCGTAATTTGAAGGTAATAGTTAAATAATGTTTTTATTTAATGTTATAAATACATAAGTTATGACGTTTTATTATGTTTTACAAAAGGCGGTCTTATGGCAAAAACAATCTCTTTCAGACAATTTTTACTTTTTGTTTCCTATCACTTCAAAAGGGCTAAGGTCAATAAGGGTCAATAAGGGTCAATAAAAGTAAAAGGTCAATAATTAGATTGAGATGTTACACGGTATAGTTACAAGGTGCTTTATAGTGATGGTTAAATATGAATTTTATTACGACTGAAGTTATTTCGGAGCATTTGGCGTTCCATTGTTTCTGCCTATCCCATGGGAGACAGGCGTAACCGATACATATCCGATACGCCTGTTACGCATGGCAAGGGGTAGCTCATTCTATGCCGAAATCACATAGCATTTATGTATATATGAAGTTATTTAACTATTTTTGTTGTGGGAGAATGTCTTAAATCTACGCAGCATTTTAGTAAATGTTTTTATAACACAAGGAGCAAATAAACTTGCGGCTCACCTGATGGTAAGTGGCTACCGCCGTCCATGATCACCCGCAACACCAACGGCATTGCAGTTGTGCTGCCGGCCTTTTAAAAAAGAATATGCTCTTTCTTTGAAGGTTATGATGTCGTATCAGTTCAGAAATACTGCTGCTGGAAGTTGATTCCAAACGATGGTTGTGCGTGGAAGAAAGTGCCTTGAAAAACACACGGTAGAAGATCGCCACTCATCCAAATGGTTGGGATGGAACTTTAGTTTGTGGCAAATTGTACAGTGGTGAAAATCAGCAGCAAGTATTAATTCGAACAATTCCTCAGAGCACTCCCCATGATAAATTC